CACAGATCAGGAAAGATAGGAGATAGCCAATGACAGACTATATTGGGTGGTCTGTTAATTGCTCTGTTAATTGGATGATCCAGGAAATTGGGGGGTGGCTACTCCCCACATTTCCTGGACTGATAAAAACCAGAGAGGAAGAACAGATAGGATACCACATCACTTTAAGTGGCCTAGGTCTCTTTATTTTCCACTCAAAGAGACAAACGAAATATACAGATCCCATCCTTCATACATACTTAAAGGCAAATGATATGGTGGCACCTTAAATACTAACTTTTATGTATTTTAATGTGTCCTTTTGCAGACAAGTCCAATTCATCAAACTAGTCCACAAAAGCTCAAATTAAATTTATGTATATAAGTTGGCAGGGACTTGGTGGCGCTGCAGGTTACACCGCAGAAGCCTCTGTGCTGTAAGGTCTGTAGAGCTTCAGCTGTAAGATTGAATCCACGTGACGGAGTGAGCGCCCGTCGCTTGCCCCAGCTCCCACTAAACTAGCGTTTGAAAGCATGCAAATGCAAGTAGATAAATGGGGACCACCTCAGTGGGAAGGTAATAGTGTTCCATGTCTAGTCACGCTGGCCATGTGAACACGGAAGATTGTCTTCGGACAAAACGCTGGCTCTATGGCTTGGAAACGGGGGTGAGCACCGCCCCCTAGAGTTGAACACAACTGGACAACAATTGTCAAGGGGAATCTTTACCTTTAAACTTTACCTTTATATATAAGTTAGCCTTTAAAGTGCCACCATACTTCTGTCTTTAAAAAAACTTTTTTCTTCTATTTTGCTTTTACCTATAATGCGCAGACTAACACAACTGCTCCTACAACTATAATAATTTGTGTATCAAAATCCAAAATAATGAGATAATTGATGATGCAGATAGTACTAATTTAATTAATTGTTACTGAAAATAAAATTCAAAGGTTTAATGAAGTCCCATACATAATTTTAAACCAAAATCTACACAAAGTACAGGATATGCAGGTTGTGTAAGAATCGTTTTTTTGAAAATTAAGAATCTTTTTTGAAAATTGGTCAGGTGAAAAAGGGGAAGGGTCAAACAGTTTTAATAATTAGCTGGAAAAGTTACTTGCACTAGAAGCAGCATGCCTTGTACATCTATTATGTAAAGTTCTGTGTAACTAGCCTAACTCATTTTTCCTATGGCCACAATACCTGGTTATAAAGTCAGGACCGTCATGGTGTAACATGTTTAGGGAGCCAATGGTATGAAAACAATGTCAGTTAGTAGTTATTTTGGCTAAATGGATCTTCATTTTTTCAGATACAGTAGTCTTGTATATGTTAGGTGTTACAACAGTTAAGAAAGGATATTGGCGTCATGTGTCGCCACAGAGGTATCTGACCACAAAGCTACAGGAACAACCAAATCTATTCTGATTCTAGCCCTGCTCAATAAAGTTCAGGGAGGTATACTTTTTCACACCATCTTCAGTTACATTTATTACAGTGGAAGACCAGCATAAGCTGCACTTTAAGGACTACCAAGTTTTATTTAGCATTGGTTTTTGTGAATTACAACCCACATCTTCAGCTTTATCTGAAGCTGCAACTCAACAAATGTGCCACAGTTTACACAAAAAAAGTAATTAAAAAATTAGTCTTTAAGATGCTCCAAAACTTTTTACTGTTGTGGTAACAAGCTAACATGGCTACTCTTGTAGAAATATTTGCAATGAGTTGATTCTCTAGCAATGTATTTGGATGGTCTAGTTCAGTGGTTCTTAACCTTTGTTACTCGGATGTTTTTGAACTGCAACTCCCAGAAACCCCAGCCAGCACAGTTGGTGGTGAAGACTTCTGGGAGTTGCAGTCCAAAACTCCTGAATAACCCAAGGTTAAGAGCCAGTGGTCTAGTTTGTTTCAAAAACAAAACAACACAAAAACACAAAACCCTGCTTGACAGCTTTCATTCAAGAAATCCCAACACAATGTATTTCTCTGTACATAGAATGAAAAGAAAAGGGGAAGTAGAATACATGCAATATTCCAAATCTTCAAAGAACTTTGGCTGTCAACAATTCAAAGCCATTGAATCATAGTAAAGATTACTATGGCAACATACTGAATATCTTGCACTCCATTTGGATCAGATGTCAACTTTAAAAGAATTTAATGAAAGAGAAAGGATTAACAAAAGAGAAAGGATTAATGAGAAAGATGAAGAGAATTCTCTCAGAAATTGAGTGAAAGAGTATTTCCACCCTTTGATAACATGATTCTGCATTTGGATCAGATTAAAAAAAATTTCAGTAGCTTAATAAAATATAGCTTTGCTTCATGAAAAATTAGTTTGAGGATCTAGAATAATTTCCATTAGGAAAAGGCCAGCATATATATCAGGCTGACTAATTTTATCTTGAAAGGACAAACTTTAATCTTAGATAAGCATTTCTAAATTTATTGCACATGACAACTGACAAATGTATCTGGATTTGAGAAGAGCTAATTAATATACCTGGCATTCGATTTGACTTTTACAGTCACCACCTGAAAGGCAATCTGGTTGACAATGTGTTAACCTGATATAGTCCACTTTTACCTTTATTATTTTCTCATGTAGTCAATATAAAGAAGTAAGAAGCCTTGTTTCTCTCTATATAACAGTAATGACTGAGTGAATCATTATCATAATCATCTTAGAAGTGCAGTGTTGCAAGGGACCCTATGGATCATAGAATTCAACCCCTGTTATGGAAGCACAGTGGGGAATTCAACTTCCAACCTCTGGGTCCACAGCCAGATACCTATACCACTGAGCTATCCAGCAGTTCCGTTAGGTAGAAAAGTTTACAGCATCATACACCAGCTGAAACAATGGACAGGGTGATGTTAAAAAAGATAACAGCTTATCATCCAGGAATACACGTATGTACCAAAATGTAAGACAGGCAGCACACTACCTTTATTCCAAAGTTACTTCCAAAGTTGGACATTCTTCTCACGTCTCTTTCTGAATGTTGATGAGTATTAATAAATGATTATTTACATATCCCATTGATATAGGATTCTGATCTCAAAGGTTCAACTATGTTGTAAATAATCATGCTATTTTTTTTCAAATTTGCCTTCAAGAAGTCCCACTTTAGTCTATCAAACACCTTTTCTGGGTCCAGAAAAAAGAAAAGCAGCTGTTTCTTGTTTTCTCTATGAGATCGTAATCCTTTCTATTAGCTATTATTTCTATATTTCTTTGCATTTTTCAATTCTTTGAATCTGGTCTGATAAAAATGGATATAATTATAAATGATATTTTTCAACTTTCTGACAAAGATGGATGTCCACTTTTTTTATCTTGAGTGAGCAAAGTCATTTAATAATATCTATGACTGAGATAGCTGAAGATCTTTGCTAATCTTCACACTTATTTCTGTTGACTCTGTTGGCAACTGAAAACATTTCCTATCATTTTATATAATAGCACAAATTTTCCCCCCAAAATCAGGTAAATTTAACTGACAAACGCATATGGAGTTGCAGTTTTATTCCTTATTTAATTTTGTTTTGGTTCTCTAATTCCTTTTCTTCTGCTATTGGAGATTCCAACACATTCAAATATTAATTGAAAAGCTTAGAAATCGTAGTCTTTGGAAAGACATCATTTTTGCAGCTGGTAAATTTGTGCTGCATTTCATTCTTGATAGTACTGCTGTATCAGTTCTATGGTTTATTTTGAATCTTCTTCTTAGGCATTCCTCAGTCTTGAGAGACTATGGTAATGTGCTCTGAGCTGGAGTGTCCTCTCCAGAGCACAAAGCCTGTGTAAAATCATATGGAGGATAGGCTGTTACCCAAGCAGCAAATCCCCCCTCTCCACATTGCTGAAATAGTCCAATGGAAAGGCAAGAGCCAATACAACTGATTCCAGCAACGTCGCAGGAGTTGGCAGAATGACATGAACTGCCTTCGGGACTCTAGCTCTGGATTTTGCCTCTAGGTTAACTCCTGAAGCCTTTTCCATCAGTGGATATAGCCACAAGGCAGTGGAGGTTTGAAATTGGAGTTTTCCTTCTCCTTCTCCTTCCAAGGCTGACGAGCCCCACCTACCTGGGACTGGATTATGCCACCAGATATCCAGAGGCTATAACTCCAAGGTCTACCACAGCTAAAGTAAAAGTAAAAAAAAAAGTGTGCTGCTTATATACCGCCCCATAGCACTTCAAGCACTCTCTGGGCAGTTTACAAGTTAATTATGCAGGCTACACATTGACACCCCCCCCCCGCAAGCTGAGTACTCATTTTATCAACCTCAGAAGGATAGAAGGCTGAGTCAACCTTGAGCTGGCTACCTGGGATTGAACCCCGGGTCGTGAGCACAGTTTTAGCTGTAATACAGCAGTTTAACCATTGTGCAAATGGCGGTGCCGGGCTCACACAGGCACACGGGAGCACATGCGCAGGCGCAAAGAGGTGCGTGAGTGAGTGCGTGGGGGAGCGTACTGCACTAAACCTATTTTACCAAAGGAATTTGTATTTAAACTTTTTTCTGGCAGTTTAACCATTGTGCAAATGGCGGTGCGTGAGTGAGTGTGGGGGGGGAGGGTACTGCACTAAACTTATTTTACCAAAGGAATTTGTATTTGAACTTTTTTCTCTCTCATTAACTTAGCTAAGAATGCTATTCTTTTACACTATTGGAATATCACAACACAGCTTAAAAACAGTGTAAAAGTTTTTCCCAAGAGGGCTCACACAACAACTCAAATAACATCTTCCTACAATGTGATGTTTAAATTGATTCCGTTCAGAATGGAGCTTATTACAAGGTAAATGTAAATGCAAACAAATGCTCAATCAGGGAATAGTAAACAACATCTGTGCATTCTCTACCAAGAGAAGCCTGGAAAGGATCACTGAAGTTGGAATTGACTTGATGACATGCAACTATTTTTGCTATTAGTCAGCTGAGAACAATGCTAGAGCCACATACACAAACATATATACATGCACAGGCAAACACAAAAGCTTACTTGAGAACTGAATGGCAAATCCAGATTTGCTGATATAAAAGTCTGTATCAAATTGGATGGTAACCACGTTGAGAGTGCTGTGGATGCCTTCAGGAATAAGAGAGCCACTAATTTCTTTTAAAAGCATGTCATTTTCAGGCGGACCATCCCAGACACGTAGAATGTCATGCGAGGCTTCAGTATCGAAGGCAAGAAATTGGAGGCTGTGAAGAGACCAATGATTTATCATTCCATGGGATTTCTAACAACAAGATAATTTTCAAAGGGGTATTCATGTTAGTCTATACAAGCATATCAACAAGAAAAACAAGGAAGCAGAAGAAGAAGCAGAAGCAGAAGCAGAAGCAGAAGCAGAAGAAGCAGAAGCAGAAGCAGAAGCAGAAGCAGAAGAAGAAGAAGAAGAAGAAGAAGAAGAAGAAGAAGAAGAAGAAGAAGAAGAAGAAGAAGAAAATAAAGATATGCCACCTTAAAGATTAACTACTGTATTTTAATGTGAGCTTTCATGGATCATGTCTGCTTCTTCAGACATAAAAAGAATAAAGAGACTACATAACAACATAGTCATACAAGGCCCTAAGATACAGGAATATGGTGCTTTACTACACTCAAGTTGCATTTCACACCTAGTAATGACTTAGGACTCGTTTGGTAGTCAGTTTTTTCCTTTTTAAGCTTTGTTCTGTAAAGTGCAAATATGATTAGTGGCTCAAGCAAACAACAACAGAAACAGTATGTGTTGAGTTAGGAATCGTTGGTTATACATTTGAAGCTTCTTCTATAAAGTCAGCTGTGGTTAGTTGGCTAGGAAAATGACAGCAGATAACAACATAATTATTATAGTTGAGAAATAGGAAGAAAAATGGTGTTTAGATTACATTTATTGCAAAGAGATTTCATGCCACTGCTTGAGAGGGGAGAGTATTCCAGGACATGAGAATGAGAAACCTATCTGGGTCCTAGGCAGAATTCCAGAAACACTATTACTATTCTAGAGAAGGGAACTCTGTTATTATTTTATCACATTCTACTCTACAACACATTTTCTGCCTGTCACCATGAAGAGCAGCTGCTGCAGCAACTGTATATACAGCTCAACTGGTGAACACTGTAGGACCTGGGACTCATTGTACATCTGCTTCCTGGGCAGAGTTCCAAGGGGAAAAAATCAGCCATCCTACATCACTCCTTAGCAACAGGTATTCTAGAACATGGATATCTGTAAACATAAAGTCTTTTGGTTTTTTTATTTTTATTTAGATGTTATGGGATTAGAGCTTCAGTTTTGGCTTCTGTTAAAGTTTTATGTTTACAGTAGCCTTATTTGGGCACTCCCCCTCACACAATTTAAATAGCATGAAAGAGAGTTGAATTGTGTTGGCCTACTCTTTCTTCTCAGTTGTAGAAGGCTTGATGCTTGCTGATTTCACACAGGTTTCCTGTGAAATTTAGAACCAATATCATTTGGATTCTACATCACACAGTGAACCTATATGTGCTATTCAGTCAGTCACTCTTTCACTTTTCATCTCTCCTTTCTCCAATAATTGTTGAGTAAACCAGGTCCTTTGCTACAGACCTCCATTATGAATCATATGGAAGGTAGTAACAGCCAAGAGATGGATAAATGGCAGAGGGCAAGATCCTGACATATCCCTACTTTCCTCTGTGCAGCTCTAACCTCACAAGGGCTTCAGCATCTGAACTGGCACTATTTAGTACCCAGATAAGTACTTTTTCATGCTGTATGATTTGGCCTCTTGCATCTCCAATCCATTTGACTGCCTTTGGGTAGGATCTATTTAGGAACAATACTGATGATGTATTAAAAAGTACTTTAAGTTTCTCTAAGTTCATGAGATAGAATAGAATCCAAGGTAAAGAAATAATCACTGAATACTCACTGCCTAGAAGAAACATCTCAGCCATACTTATACATCTGCATCATGTGCAACACAAACACTGTTTCTCAAAGGCAGTAAAATCTTACATGCGTCCGCTCAGAAATACACCCCACTGGGTTGAGATGTACCCTATGGTATATACAATTATAGTGTTAAGCTAATAAGTATATCCCCAAATAAATTCCAGTTAAATTATTAGTGACAGCACAGTGCAGATTTCCTATTTTGAATCTCAGTTATCCCAAATACTAGGGCTGTTCACTGGCTTCAGATGACTGACAAATATTGGTTGAAACTGGGGCTATTTGTGTCAACCAAGGGATGGTCCTGATCAAAGTGGATGAGGTAGGTTATGAGATAGCAAAATATGATAAAGCCAGGCAAGGAGCTGTGTTTCAATGATGAAAGCATCTTCCCTACATTTTTACTCACTCAAAGTGTGATGAGGGTCCTGAGAGAAGATATTGGAGCTTTATATGTTCTTGTATGTTATGTTCAATTCAGTTTGCTCAGGGGCTAGTTAGGATAGTGTAAGTGCTGTACTGGCTTGTTAGCTTCACTTTGATTGTGTGTGTGATTGCAATGTGGGTTGTATTTTTGCCTAGGTTTTGAGTGAATAGGCTTTAGAAACTCTGTGCATGACAGGGTCTTCCTTTCTCCCCATCCTAACCTTTACATCCTAGTTTCCAGGTTTACTGTATCAGAAACCTCTCTTCAAACTCCTCACTGCTCATATAGGAAAACAACAACAGTGAGAATAATGGGGCTATTGGTTTACCAAATAGGAAAACAATGAAGAAAAATATCAAATTTTGCAGCTCGCAAGATCCAAAGAGCTTCATGTATGCAGTTTGATATGGTGTATTGTCTCTTTGTGGTCTACCGTCTTGCCTTATGCTGTGGTAATGCACCCCTCCCCCAAATTACAGCTTTCCAATGGTCCCCATCAACTATCAAGTGAATGGCAGTTTCAGAGATACAACATCTAAAGAACAATCTCTGTGTGGGAACTGACTTGAGAAATCATCACAGCAAATTGAACTGGACAATAGTCACAGCTGACTGAATTGGGCACCAATCTGAGGCTCCAAATCAGAAACCAGTTTAGATCAGGGACTATACAGAGGTCTGAAAAAAGACTTAAGGTAACACTTGAGTACCTGACAATATTTCCTGGATCAACTTCAATCATCCACATACACCGCAGATTATTGTCATATGGAAAAGGATAGCCAGGAGATAGGATTCTTCCAGATGATTCTCCTTTAAAACGACCTCCACATTCAGCTGATGAAAACAAAGTATACATTAGAAATTACTTCTGGTAAAGCTTCTGCTAGCAATTCTGTTCTGCCTATATTTATACCAAATAATACCTCTTTGCAAAACAGCTTATAACTAAAAAGTAAGGACATTGCATACAGGGCTGGAAAGCCACTCAAGTTACATAAGCTGCAGATCAGGCATGGACAATACAACAGTCCAGTAACCCACATTATTAACTAGCTGACTAGATCCAAGCTATCTAAAAGATAGTATCTCCCTTTATGTCATGTAGGCATCTTCAGTCTCAAGAGACTATGGGAACGTGCTCTGAATGGAGGACTTGGAACACTGCTAATGGATCAGAAAGCTCCAACTGCAAGACAGATTTTGTGTATCCATTCTTAGCACACTTTCATTGATCTCAGCCGAAACCAACATCAAGACAAGTTTTAAGATGACTCCTTTAAAGCACATACGGCATGTGATTTTTCAAATATTTATAGCTGCCCGGATCTCTATTTTATTATAGATGGCAAACAAATGCCCTCAACTCCAGTAGCTTTGCAAATTCTGCAGCTACCTCAACTCTTCTAACCTCCCTCTTCAAATATCCACTCACCACACTTGCTCCATGGTATGGCACTAGTCTAATGCATTGTCCTTTATTCCCCTAAATACTACTTACTAGAGAAAGTAGCCTGGTATATTTTCCAATGCTAAAAGGGACAACGAATCCTGTTGAACTAGTAGACCCAGGATGACAAGGGCTCAATTCTTGTACTCTGCAATACTCTAGAATAAGGAGTACCTGACAATATTTCCTGGATCAACTTCAATCATCCACATACACCGCAGATTATTGTCATAGGGAAAAGGATAGCCAGGAGATAGGATTCTTCCAGATGATTCTCCTTTAAAACGACCTCCACATTCAGCTGATGAAAACAAAGTATACATTAGAAATTACTTCTGGTAAAGTTTCTGCTAGCAATTCTGTTTTGCCTATATTTATACCAAATAATACCTCTTTGCAAAACAGCTTATAACTAAAAAGTAAAGACATTGCATACAGGGCTGAAAAGCCACTCAAGTTACATAAGCTGCAGATCAGGCATGGACAATACAACAGTCCAGTAACCCAAATCATTATCTAGCTGACTATATCCAAGCTATCTAAAAGATAGTATCTCCCTTTATGTCATGTAGGCATCTTCAGTCTCAAGAGACTATGGGAACGTGCTCTGAATGGAGGACTTGGAACACCGTCTAGTGTGGCCGAGAAGGCCAATTCGAGAGTGACAATCCCTTCCACACTGAAGACAAATACAATCTGTCCCCTGTCCAGCTCCCTGATTTTGCTGGTTTTGGGACTGCCTCTTTGCCTCGGCTTGTTGGACAAGGCTCACTAGCTATCCACTGGAAAAAGCAATGTCTGGCAAGTGCTTCCGTTTGTTCTGTGCCCAGAATTTTTTAACCTGAGAAGATTGTCTGAGGAGAATGTTAGACTATTGACGCTTTGAAGATTCTCCTGACCCTTCATGACCTTCAACTACAGGCTGCTTGTGACTGGAGCAGCCCTCTCAAAAAAAAACCTCTGTGGCGACCCTTCTCCTCAGTCCACAGGAATTCCTGTTCCAAGAAAACTTTGCCATTCAGAACCTAGCGTTCACAGAAATAGATTTGCAGGAGTGAATGTCTTGCTCACATCCAAAGCTTTCACATTAAACAAAAGGAAAAGTATAAGCGATAGAAAAATGTAGGTATGTTCTGAATATTTGGTTAATTTGCTAAGCAAGACAAAATGAACTGCACGGCTGAGTGATGTTTGGAACTACAGAGAGTGTTTCAAGGCAGGGTTCCATCTTTAATTCTATTGCGTTCAAGATACAATCAAGGAAATAGGAAAATAGGAGATTAAACATGATTGGATAGGTTTGCTTGAAATCACCTCCCATCTATGAACATCTCTCTCTCCCTTATATTTCATAGAACAATGAGGTACTTTATTTCAGAACTGAAAGCATCACTATAACAAGGAGATAAAATCCACAATATGCACATCTAAATGGGAATATTTTCTGCAGATGTTTTGTAAATATTTTGTAAATATATCTTAACAGATACAGTGGTACCTCGCATAGCAGAAAAGCCCACAGGAACGCATTAAACATCGTCTAATGTGTTCCAAATGGGCCGAAAACTCACCGTTCAGCGATGCTTCCCAGGTCCGGCAGCCATTTTTGTGCCCTTGTTAAGCGAGGGCAGGGCGCGAAAACGCTGCACGCGGCCATTTGGGGGCTTCCGGTGGCCATTTTGGAGCCGCCGAACAGCTGATTGTCGGGCTTCGTTTTGCGAAGATCAGTAAGCGAAACGCTTACCGATCTTTGCAAAGCGAGTTTTGCCCATAGGGGCCATCGGTATGCGATTGCATTTGCGATCGCAAATACCTCTTCACTATGCGATTTCGTCGTTATACGGTGCGCTCGTTAAGCGAGGCATCATTGTATTCATACAGCAGAGAAAAAAAGTCCTAATCTAAAAAAAATGGGAGCATATCTACTCATTTATAGGAAACAGCCAGCTTGAGCTCAGAAAGTTTCTTTAAAATATCTTTAGTGGTTCAAGATGATTGTTCTGATCGATTATGAAAGCACTGAACACATACATTAGCCCCACACCCTGTGTTGCTACTTGAAACACCTGGAACTGAGCAAATAATGACTGATTATCCATGTGAGAACATGAAAAAACTTTTTTGGCGTTCTGGGTCACATGGACAGCCTACAAGGGATGACAGATTTCCCCTCTTCAGACTCTCACTTTTGTATAATTCAAGTGAGACATGCATAGTTTGTCATGTGTGCAACACACATGCTTTCATAACAAGTGAATAGGTCTCCTGTCCTATTATGGTTATAGATGCTGTAGAAATTCTCTTTTTATGCAATAGTGAGAACTATGTGACAAGAAACCTCTCTTCAAACTCCTCACTGCTCATATAGGAAAACAACAACAGTGAGAATAATGGGGCTATTGGTTTACCAAATAGGAAAACAATGAAGAAAAATATCAAATTTTGCAGCTCGCAAGATCCAAAGAGCTTCATGTATGCAGTTTGATATGGTGTATTGTCTCTTTGTGGTCTACCGTCTTGCCTTATGCTGTGGTAATGCACCCCTCCCCCAAATTACAGCTTTCCAATGGTCCCCATCAACTATCAAGTGAATGGCAGTTTCAGAGATACAACATCTAAAGAACAATCTCTGTGTGGGAACTGACTTGAGAAATCATCACAGCAAATTGAACTGGACAATAGTCACAGCTGACTGAATTGGGCACCAATCTGAGGCTCCAAATCAGAAACCAGTTTAGATCAGGGACTACACAGACGTCTGAAAAAAGACTTAAGGTAACACTGGAGTACCTGACAATATTTCCTGGATCAACTTCAATCATCCACATACACCGCAGATTATTGTCATATGGAAAAGGATAGCCAGGAGATAGGATTCTTCCAGATGATTCTCCTTTAAAACGACCTCCACATTCAGCTGATGAAAACAAAGTATACATTAGAAATTACTTCTGGTAAAGCTTCTGCTAGCAATTCTGTTCTGCCTATATTTATACCAAATAATACCTCTTTGCAAAACAGCTTATAACTAAAAAGTAAAGACATTGCATACAGGGCTGAAAAGCCACTCAAGTTACATAAGCTGCAGATCAGGCATGGACAATACAACAGTCCAGTAACCCACATTATTAACTAGCTGACTAGATCCAAGCTATCTAAAAGATAGTATCTCCCTTTATGTCATGTAGGCATCTTCAGTCTCAAGAGACTATGGGAACGTGCTCTGAATGGAGGACTTGGAACACTGCTAATGGATCAGAAAGCTCCAACTGCAAGACAGATTTTGTGTATCCATTCTTAGCACACTTTCATTGATCTCAGCCGAAACCAACATCAAGACAAGTTTTAAGATGACTCCTTTAAAGCACATACGGCATGTGATTTTTCAAATATTTATAGGGCATCATTGTATTCATACAGCAGAGAAAAAAAGTCCTAATCTAAAAAAAATGGGAGCATATCTACTCATTTATAGGAAACAGCCAGCTTGAGCTCAGAAAGTTTCTTTAAAATATCTTTAGTGGTTCAAGATGATTGTTCTGATCGATTATGAAAGCACTGAACACATACATTAGCCCCACACCCTGTGTTGCTACTTGAAACACCTGGAACTGAGCAAATAATGACTGATTATCCATGTGAGAACATGAAAAAACTTTTTTGGCGTTCTGGGTCACATGGACAGCCTACAAGGGATGACAGATTTCCCCTCTTCAGACTCTCACTTTTGTATAATTCAAGTGAGACATGCATAGTTTGTCATGTGTGCAACACACATGCTTTCATAACAAGTGAATAGGTCTCCTGTCCTATTATGGTTATAGATGCTGTAGAAATTCTCTTTTTATGCAATAGTGAGAACTATGTGACAATGCTAATGGATCAGAAAGCTCCAACTGCAAGTCGGATTTTGTGTATCCATTCTTAGCACACTTTCATTGATCTCAGCCGAAACCAACATCAAGACAAGTTTTAAGATGACTCCTTTAAAGCACATACGACATGTGATTTTTCAAATATTTATAGCTGACTGGATCTCTATTTTATTATAGATGGCAAACAAATGCCCTCAACTCCAGTAGCTTTGCAAATTCTGCAGCTACCTCAACTCTTCTAACCTCCCTCTTCAAATATCCACTCACCACACTTGCTCCATGGTAAGGCACTAGTCTAATGCATTGTCCTTTATTCCCCTAAATACTACTTACTAGAGAAAGTAGCCTGGTATATTTTCCAATGCTAAAAGGGACAACGAATCCTGTTGAACTAGTAGACCCAGGATGACAAGGGCTCAATTCTTGTACTCTGCAATACTCTAGAATAAGGCTCAGAAGAGCAAGGTCTCTACTCTGCACTGCTGAGGTACAAACTGACTGGAAGACCTTAGATAAATTGCCCTTCTTATCTCAAAGACTTTTTGTGAGACTTAAAGACAAGACCATATAAGTTCCCCCGGGCACCTTGGTGGAAAGACATGGTTAAAACAAGAGAAAAACAAGGAATAAACAACATTTTTCTATTTCTTTTACAAATAATGCCAAACAGAAATCTATTACCAATACAAGATGGTAGAGGATAATCCCATGCCCTTCTTTCTCCTGTCATGCACTTAAGAAGGCTACTTCCATGGAGGGTGTAACCAGGATTGCATCCATAAATGATGGTGCTGCCAGCGAAATGGCCTTGGTCGCTTATCTTGTACCCAAACTGTGGAACACCAGGATCCTCACAATGAGAAAGTTCAAAACCTACAATAAAAACAAAAGCAGCCATTTTAGTAGATTTGGGATTTCTGCTTAATGCAAATATTTCCTTTTGGGGGCTTTTACATATCACATGGAGGGACAGGCTCCTGTTTACACAAATGTAGGAGAGACTGCCTTCTCCTTATAATCTATTTCAGATGATTTCTCCAGGCAGCCCAGTATTGTTTACTCTACTGGCAGTTGTCTAACAAATAACTGCTAACAAACTGAGATTTGTTAGTTTAAATATATACAGTAACTTGCCTCTGTTGGAGCTTGAAAATAACTATTTAGGGAAAAAAAGGCATTTGTGACAAAGGTGTAACTGAGTTACACAAATAGTATTGCAACCCTTTTATGGTGCAACAGTAACTTATTTAGTTACTTTAATTTATAGGTTGACTACATACAGTAAGTGCGTTCTGTAACATAGGCCAGTAGTCTGTTGTTGTTTTTTGATGCTGGTGATGAAATAGCATCCAGTACTCCCTCATGGCCTCCTCTCTAAATACTAACCAGACATATACCCACTCAGCTAGCAAAATCAATTAAGACTGGCTTCATCAGAGCAATATGGTGGTAACCAAAAGTTAATGTAAATGTAATTTTTAAAAAGTAACTTTTCAAGTTGTATCCATTTTGGAAAAATTCTGCTCAAAAATTTAATTCAAAAATAAACTCAATGCAACTAAAATTTCAAAGGAAACTGGTTTAAAACGACTGTTTAGAGTTACAGGATGACTGCTTTCAGATGTATAATAATGGATTTGTACGGCTAATGAAAAAAATATTCTTTCCACTTGTTGCTGTTACAGACGGTGTGTGCTGATGATGTAAAAACTTTGTCTGGGGTCTAAATTCACATAATCTTTAGCCTTGCTCAGAGATTTGCCTGATCACACGAAGGGCTAAATTTATGATCACAATAGAGAAATGCATGTAAGTCCTGCTTCTGAATGTCTCCGCCATCCAGAAGTCAATTAGACCTTTGCATGTTAAGTGCAAAGGTCTGAATAAGATTCTGTAGGAGTACTCAGGTGAATATGGTTTCAGAACTCCTGTTTCTGGGAACCAAATAAGGCAGGGAGGTCTGCAATCATCCTTAGGATTCTTTTGGTCTTTTTTTCAGATCCTTGGGCTCAGCATGCTATGTGACACATGGTGAATGTTTGGGGGTGAGGGTTATTTGCATCTCAGAGTCATTTATCTCATCAATATATACCTAACATCACTTTGTACCTGACAGAACATTATTAGTTCAGCATGAGCTTGGACACTCTAATCTTAGCATGTGGAGTGGGGAGAAGGGGGGCTCATAGACATTCTTTACCCTACCCTTTGTTGTTGTTTTCTCACATACGTACTGGTATAAACAAGTTGAAATCCTTCGTCTGTTCCCTCAGAATCTGAATTAAACTCAAGCCAAATATGATTCGAAGTACTGCTGAGCGTCAGTCCTCGCAGTGAAGCTCCAGTAAATGCACCCAGTAAATGTGCGGTATTATCCTTCCCATCATATATCTATAAAAGAAAATGGACTTGGATAATTTAAATAAGCAAAAGAGGGAAATAGCAAAAACAAGCCTTGCATTTCAGTCATGAGACAGATCAGGATTGCCGAATTTTCTTTTGTATGTTGACAGAAAGTAGTCTCTTGTAAGCATGAACCTTAGTCTTTTTAAACTGATTGAATTTGCTATTTTTTTAAATGCACTACTATAGCCAGTAGCAGGGCTTTCCAGTTTGACTATCTGTGTTTGATTTCTTATTGTAAATATTTTGATAGTGATACCCAGTGTAATAAATAAGCATTCTGTCCATCAGTCTGTATGCTAGTCCTAGAAGTACATAATGAACAAACCCAATGTTCTTGCACTCACATGTGAAAACTCACATTCCACAGTTTACTAAATAGAGAACAAAAAGGAAATGAGAAGATTACTGTGGAACATAATATCTGTAATTGTAAGTCAGTTGGACAATGTGATCTATATGTAAATAGGAAGTCAATGCTATTTATTTAAATACAGGTATTTCATTTCTGGTAGGCTAAGCAGTCCGGGACTCCAGCACCCTCTCAACTACACAGATACTCTGAAATTGCTCAGTGATGAAGAGATTTCAGTGACAGACTACTCACATGATAGCATTTTGCCAGTTCCAAAAGCAGATACCAATTCCAAAGTGCTCTCACATTTCATTTCTTCCTTACAGAATTAAGGAGCAACTGGATTACTCATAAAGTGCTGTGTATTGTAGTTAGAACCATTATATAATAAATTCATTTGCACTTGAGTACATTATGCTTTTCATTCAGAATACATTGGGTAAAAATACTAGTAAAAGCCTTACATACTGGAAGGTCTCTTTCAGAGGCCCTGCTTCTGTACCTCATCTTTATAAACATTCTATTATTTTGTTTGTTGGGGCCCAGTTCTCCAGTCTGTTGACTTCATCCTGAATCCTTATTATGTCTTCTTAAGTATTATTTACCCTTTCCACTTTGGTGTCATCTGCAAATTTGATAAGCATCCTCTCCACACCCTCATCCAAATTATTCATAAATGAATTGACAACAGCCCAGGCTGAAACCCTAAGCCTACTGTTCCCTCTCTATAAAGATGTCAAGGAAGGATTGCTGAGCATTCTCTGGGTGCAGCCTGCGAATCTTCTACAAATTCAATCTAGAGTAACATTTTAGAACAGTAACATCCTAGGAAGCAATAAAATTTGGAAAACAGAACTGCCCAATTGTCCTGGGAAAATCATCATCATAATCCTCAATGACTTCTAGTCATGATAGCTAAACTGAACATTTGTGTAGTCGTGAAGTAATGCACAGAGTTCTAGGAATTAGCCCAAGAAAACCACAGCATAGAAAAACAAAACAGGGTCATACTGAATTGTTATTTAACTCTTAATAATGACTACTGATTAGCAGGTACTGAAGCCCACACAACAAATCTATCTAGACAGAAGCACTCTTCTCTTCTATTAAACAGATGATTCACTATCTTTAGCCATAACTAGGACAAGATGCTGGAGGAGATGAATCATTTGTCTGGTGTAGTATATTTTTAATGGACTTAACAGGCAGGAGACTGGTTCAAGAGAAAAAAAAACTAAGACGCAAGAATCTCTCCCATATGAGAGACTCCTAGACTGATCGTATTTATTTGTTTGTTTCATTTGTTTAAACTTGTATCTCACTCATTTAGTGGACAAGTCATTTATTTGATTTAGGTGTCACCATTGGGGGAGGGGGTTATTATGCTCTATTTGCATGGTTTTGTTATTGCGCTATTGCATCTATACTGTATTTGGTGTTATGTCCAATTTTTGGTAAACCGCCCAGAGTTGTGGCTGGTCAGGAGATGGGCAGTATATAAATACAATTAACTCAGTCAAACTTTTCAAAAGGTTGCCCCATTAATTATTCTCTAGGTACACTGAGCATCAGTTTGTCTAACTGGATTCTTGTTTTTAAGTGATGGTTGTGTAAATTGTCAGGTATGCCATTCCCAATACTTTTCAACTCATGTTGAAAAGTTCTGCAGTAGATGAGTTTGAAACAGTTATTTGGAAACATTCTAACAGTTGGAATTTAACTCAGTATTATTTCATTCCTTCACAGCTGAATTCTGCACCATACTGCTTGTGCATGCTATGTCCTAGCAGTACTATACTCACTTACACTCAGTTGGTGAGAGCTACCAACCTATATTAAAAATGGCTCCACTGGAAAAAAAGGGAGGGAAGTAACCAAATGTTTCTAGAAATGACACAAAGTGAGGAAGGATCTCTCTCTCTCTCTCTCACACACACACACACACACACACACACACACACACACACAAATAAGGACATTGAATGCTTACAGACTATAGAATACTGACTTTCCATTGGTGGGGTAGGATCGCAAACAATGATTGTATAAAACATTGTGGAAAAAGACATTGCTCACTGGCTGGAAAAAAAATGCAAAGGAGTATACTGAAACTACTGGCTGGAAAAAAATGCAAAGGAGTATACTGAAACTAACATTTTATTGCAGCTCCATCCACCATCTATGTCTATAATTCATTCTATTCTATTCATAGTGCATGGAATTGACTTTCATAAAGGGATAAATGAGTTCTACAGGGCATTAAGTGACAGTCCTCTAAACTTTGTGTGCACCCCATCAATCCTGTTCCCTTGAGCACCGCTTGGGGACTCAGTTAACTTCACTGGATTTCTTTGGAATCCAGGTTCTGGAAAGCAGGAAGGAGAGCTTAGGCCCAGGAAACACTCCTCTTAGAGAAGGCTTGTATAGATGAGCAAAGAGTGGTCGTAAGACCAGATAGGCGGGATATAAATTGAATGAATGAATGAATGAATACTGTAAATCAAAAGAAGTCAAGCTCAGCAGCTCATCTCTACCAGTCACTTTCCTCACTTGCCTCTTCAGAACTGCAGTGATGTCCAGGTTAACATAGCCTTGTCCAGGCATGTGTCTGGAGTCTGACTCCTGTTGCAAGCAAACAACCAGGCAAGAATAAACAGCTTCCAGCATCTTCCTCACTTGCATCACCCCACACAATATAAATTGAAGAGGCAGGCAACAAATCTCTGCTGTCCCAATCCTGCCTTTTTATTCTCCTTGACTCCTATTTTCTCCAACTGTTTTTCATCAGGGAACTGTCTCTCTTTCAGCTGTAGACCTGATTTTGGGGCGGGGGCTCCCACCAGCTACCTGATATTTGTGTGCTGGGGCCAGATGGGTCACTAAGGGCAAGTGCCTGCAATCCCTCAAAGTGTGGTCCCACCAAAATACAGGAGAAAATTGCTTGCACGTTGGGCAGTCACTTTCTTGCCCTCTTTGACACATACACGCAGACAAAGAAATTCCCTTAGTAAGAGAATGAATGAAGTCAGTGAAGAATAGCCCATTAAGGCAAATGGGACACAGCTCAACTTCAGATTTCAGTTATCTGAGTCAGCACATTCTTGCCTGCCTCATTTTCAGGCCCCAGGGAAAATGAAGAGAGAAGCAGTAGCAGCTTCTTTGTTGTTGTCATTGTCGTTGTCGTTGCTGTTGTTGTTGTTTAGTTGTTAAGTCATATCCGACTCTTTATGACCCCACGAACCAGAGCACGCCAGGCCCTTCTGTCTTCCACTGCCTCCCGGAGTTGGGTCAAATTCATGTTGGTAGCTTTGGTGACACTGTCATCCCTTTCTACTCTCGCCTTCACTCTTTCCCAACATCAACACACGCCAGGCCCTTCTGTCTTCCACTGCCTCCCAGAGTCTGCTCAAATTCATGTTGGTTGCTTCAATGACACTGTCCAACCATCTTGCCCTCTGTCATCCCCTTCTCCTCTGGCCTTCACTCTTTCCCAACATCAGCATCTTTTCCAGACAGTCTTTTCTTCTCATGAGATGCCCAAAGTATTGGAGCCTCAGATTCAGGATCCATCCTTCCAGTGAGCACTCAGGGTTGATTTCCTTCAAAATGGATAGGTTTGTTCTCCTTGCAGTCCAGGGGACTCTCAAGAGTCTCCTCCAGCCCCACAATTCAAAAGCATCAACTCTTTGGCGGTCAGCCTTCTTTATGGTCCAGCTCTCACTTTATGGTCCAGCCTTCTTTATGGTCCATCTCTAAGTAGCAGCTTAGAACCTTTCTAATTTGAGTGGAGCTATGAGCGGGTAGAGGCAGCATCTGAGTGAATGCCTCAATGCTTCTATATATGTGAATTCATGTTTGCCTATCTGTACCACCCCACCCTCATGTATCCACCTTTGTCCCTGGGCTCTCCCTCCACTGGCTGTTGTTCTCTCTGCCCCACCAAGCCACAGTCTGTAGGAACTGCCTCTAGATGACGGAGGTAATAGAAAATGGATTTTCAAAACTCTCCAGCACTAACCTTCCTAATGCCTTAACAATAAACTCAACCATTATCAGTTTTTATTTTAAACACGTGACGGAGGTAATAGAAAATGGATAAACTAAACTCTCCAGCACTAACCTTCCTAATGCCTTAACCATAAACCCAACCATAATCCCAGTTTTTATTTTATACACAAACTTGACTTGGATTCCAATGTGATTAATAAATGAATGTCATATGATTTGAGATAAGAATATATCACCCTGAAACTGCCACATACCTTAAGAACATCTCCTTGTGCTAAATGAAACGTTCGAGCAGAAATGTTGATTCCCTTCCCTGCTTGTACTTGAATGCTGTAAATACATTCGTGGTTGTTTTCATAGCTGAGGGGGTAATTGGGGGACAGCAAAATCCCTTCATTATTTGTTGCAGAAGCGCCACATTCAGCTGCAAGTAAAACAGAATTTGAGGTATAGCTCAATAGAGAAGATAAATCATTTCAACAATGGCAAACACGGGAGTGTAAATATAATCGAATGCCGCATCATTAATATTTGTGGCTCTCTAGAAGAGATTGTTTATACAAAGTAACAGGATTATAACCTACTACTCTGTTTTCTTAAACACAGTTCCTTTTTTTCCATACTGGCACACACTCATACAAACCAAGACTATTTATAGTTCCTTGTCTTGCATTTTGGTCATAATCAGCATGATGTGGAATATTGTTACATATTGATAACTGTAATAGTTACAGTTTGATGTCAATAACAGTGATTGTTAAAATATCAATTTTACAGTATCAATTCTTGCA